TCACGTGAAGGGCATATGAATCATATGGCTCAAACTATGCTTCTAACATCGCTGAGAAGCAGCAGATCTAGAAATGATCGAGTATAAGCGATCTTGTTGTATCAATATCTGTGTAATTGCATGACTGTTACACATCTTGCTGACGTGTCCGGGAGTCTGATGTATTTTGCAATGCACAATTCGGCTTGTATATTTTACAAGGGAAGAGCTAGTGTGTTGGCTCAGTTCATCCAGATTTTGCTGAGAGAAATGATCTTTGCTGTAGGACAGACAGACGGGGCGTCAGACTGACAGACAGACAGACAGACAGACAGCAGACAGACAGGAGGGGAGGGGAGGGGAGAGAGAGAGAGAGAGAGAGACAGAGACAGACAGAGACAGAGACAGACAGAGACAGAGACAGAGACAGAAAGAGATGGGGGGAGGGGGGGGAGGTTTGGGGAGGGAGGCGATCAGTAGAAGAGAACCGTGGGAGGGGAAGTGAAGTGAACAACAATAAGATATTGTGGGGTACAAGTCACCTGAATCTTCAAACCCATGATGACAAGTTGCTCTAGAACTCCCTGCGAAAGTATGAGAGACAGAAAGACAAGTGGTGGAAGCAGGGCAGGGAAGGAGAAACGAAGCAGGACAGGGGAAGGAGAAAGGAGGCAGGACGGGGAAGGAGAAAGGAAGCAGGACGGGGAAGGAGAAAGGATTTTATGTTACCTTGACACAGGCTGGAATCATGCCGAGGTCCTCGCCGCAGACCTGAGACAAGTGAGGGGAGAGAGCAGCAGCATCGCCGTCACCATCATGCGCGAGGCGTCCAGAAGCGGCGGGAGCTTCAGCATCGCAGCATCCGCCCAGTACTGATCCTGATAACGGTGATGAGCGACATGACGATGGAAGGAGACTTGAGGGGGAAAGAACATGGAAAACAGTTGAAGGAGAAGCAGAGGGAGGAGGTGAGGGAAAATGATGGGACGGGTGGGAGGAAAAGGAGGGCTGAGAGCGCAGGGCAGGAGGAAGAAAGGGGATTTAGAGGGGAAAGATTTACCTGTCTGCCGTAGAAGTATGACTGATAAAGATTACGCAGCTTGTTCTGCATGTCGCCAGGAAGTTCCTGCTGGAAAGATAAGAGGATAGAAGAGAACGAGAAAGAAGGGAAGAGGAAGAGAGGGGGAAAGAGAGGAAAGTGAGAGGATTGGAAAGCAAAAGAAAGCGGCAAGGATGAGGAATGAGAGGAAGGGGATCAAGAGAGGTAAGCAGCATTCCTGAAAGGAGGTTGTCTTCCACATCTCAATCCTCTGCGAGTCGTCAGGGTCAGTGAGGCAGGCGGAGAACAACCGGGTAGAAAGCTTCATGCGGACGATCGTCATCGCGAAGCAACACGACGTTGTTGATGAGCTGAGAAAAGTCGTAAGGGCAGCAACAGCAAGAGAGAGCAGACAGAGCCAATGAAGACGACAAAGAGTGGAGGATGAGATGAGGTGAAGAAGGGATAGAGCAAGGAGGATGCAAACGAACTCACTAGCTTCAGATTGTAAATCATCTCCTCCTTGCTCTTGTACCCAACACAAGACCCTTCCCTGTTCCAAAGGTTTACACCTCCTCCTTCTCCGCCACCTTTTCTCTCTTCCCACCATTACCCTCCTTCCAACTTGCCCTCCTCCCGCTCCCCCTTGCCCTCCTCCCGCTCGTTTCCCCATGCATGGCTCACCTTTCCACAATCTTCTCGATCTCAACTTCGCTGCAGAGCCCTTGCTTGAACTTGAAGGTTTCGTAACTTGCCAATCAAATCAGCAATATTCCCCCCTACTCCTCCTTCAACCCTCCCTCCTCCCTTCTCCCTCCCTTCTCCTCCCTCCTCCCTCCTGCTACCCGTCGTCATCGAAGAATCGGTTCTTCACTCTCATCCTGTCGTGGGGTCATCGTCGCCATGTCTCTTCCTCCTTCACCAGTCATGTCCGAAGAATCTCTCCATCAGATGTTTCTTCACGTGCGGGTTGCAAAGGCGATCAATTTGATGCTCCATGCCCTACCAAATGTCAGTGCACAAACATGACCTCCTCTTGTTTCAGCCTTCTTCCTCCTCCAGTCTTCACACAGACATGCTTCTACCTCTGATCATGACATTCTCCTCCTCTCCTCCTCTCCTCTACTCTTCCTCCTCTTTCCCACACTGCTTTCTCACCGCATTTCTCAGCTCATCTCGATGGATGGGGAGCGACGGCCGGAACCTGCCGAGCAGGCCGCCAGTAGCGCTGGAAGGCATCTCCCAGATACGGAAAAAGCCTGAGAGGATGATGAGGGGGAGAGAAAGAGAGAAAGAGAGAAAGAGAGGAGCGACATGGGGGAGACAGCAGTGGATGCGAGCACAAGAAATGTCAGCTGGAAGAGACTAGGCAGAGACGAGAACAGACAAGGCTAAGAGGAACAAAAACAACAAATGAGGGGGAGGAGGGGGAGGATGGGGAGGATGGGGAGGAAGGGGAGGAAGGGGAGGAGGAGACCGAGGATGTGGTCGATCCTGTAGGCATGGAAGTATTGGCTCATCCAATTCAGTCGCGAACGCCACCAGCTGAAGCCATCTCGCTGCATCGCCTCCCAGTTGTAGGTGGGAAAACCCCAATTCTGATGGCAGAGGAGAATGAGAACAAGAGAAGGGCAAGCGCAACGGGGGGGGCAGGGGCGACAGAGGAAAGGTGGAGAATGAGAGGGAGGAGGACGAGAAGAGGAGGACACCTGTCCCATCTCGGAGTAATCATCAGGAGGAGCTCCGGTCTTCTTGTTCATGTGGAAGAGGTGGGGATGGTACCAGGCGTCCACGCTGTCGTGATCGATTCCGATGGGGAGATCGCCTGGTTGCTCCTCGTCAAGGGAGAGATGAAGGTACGAAGACTCGAGATAAACTTGAAGAGACGACAGAGAGGAAACGGAGAAAGTAGAGGGAGAAGGAAACGAGAGGAAAAGAGCGAAAGGGAGGAGAGAGGAGAAAAGAAACGGAAGGAAGGTTCAAGGTTATCGATGGAGGGAGCTTGCCTTTGAGAACAACTCCATTCGTAGCTGCATACTTGGAGGCATCCAACAGCTGCTCGTGACAAAGAAATTGAACAAACCTGACAGAATGAGTGACCAGAAGAAATAGGGGAAAAGATACAAAGAAGCGAGGAAGACAAAACGCTGAAGATGCAGGGGAAAGAAAGCAGAAGGGGAGGGGGGAGAAAGGAAAGGGAGGAACAAAGAAGGAGAGGAGCCGGCAGGAGAAGGACGGGAGGGAGGGAGCGAAAGACCAGTAGAAGGAGATGCCCTTGTAGAACTCTGAATCTTCGTCGGTCATGCTCTGAAGCACAGTCAGACCTGAGGCAGGAAGGGGAAAAGAAAGTAGAAACAAGGAGAGGGAGGAGGAAGAGAGAGATGAAGGGAAGATGAAGAGGAGGAGAGAACAGGAGAAAGTAGCGGCACCATAAGTTTCTCTTTGTTGATTCCTGTACCCAACTTGCCCCATTCGTCTGGGTTTGCTGACCCGAAGAAGTCCCTGTGAGACTCACATAAGCAAACAATGCTCCGTGACGACCACCCCCTCCTCCTCCTCCTCCTCCTCCTCCTCCTCCGCCTCCTCCGCCTCCGCCTCCTCCTCCTCCTCCTCCTATGAACACTACTACAATCTCTTTCTGTTCTTCCCTGCCATGTTCCTCCCTCCCTCCCTCCCTATGGTTGCTCTACCATCAACACGCGCTCCTACACCTCAAGCCAATCCCTCGTTTCTCTTCTTTCCCCCCCTTTCCTTTTCCCTCCTCCTCCTCCTCCTCCTCCTCCTCCCGCCCTTCGCTCCCTCGCCTTCTTCACCTCAGCCAGCAAAACAGTCCGTAGGGTCGAAGCCAGAACTCAGCTCGATCAAAGAATTCCTTGTACTCCTCCGACTCCATGACCTGCATCATCCGTGATTTAGTCCTCGCTCCCTCCTTCGCTCCCCCCCCCTCCCCTCCAACATTCTCTTCTTCTCCCCTCCACCACTTCTCCCCCTGTCTCTCCTTCCCCTCAAGCTCTTCCTGTCCTTCTCTTCAGCCTCTCTCCACCTCCTGAACCTTTTTTTTGTCCTCCGCCTCCTCCTCTCACCTTGGCTCCGATCTCCTTGAAGGCTCGTCGCAAGAACCCTGTCTTGACGCGCATGACCTGAAAAGATGGATCAGCACAAGGTACGCAAAGTCAGGAGAGGAGGATGACGAGGAAGAGGCAAGGAGAACTGAAACGTGAAGGGATAATGGAAACGAAGAAAGGGACGTGAGCATTGGAATAGGAAGTAACAGATACGTAGGTGAGGAGAACAAAGAAAGGAAGAGCGCTGGAGGAAGAGGAGGAGGAGGCAGTAGCAGAAGCAGCAGCGGTAGTAGCAGCAGCGGCAGTAACAGCGGGGGCAGCAGTAGGAGTAGTAGCAGCCGAAGCAGAAGCAGAAGCAGAAGCAGAAGCAGAAGCAGCGGTAGTAGAAGCGGCAGCATTATTGTTAGACCTCGGGGTAATCGATGGGTCGGTCAAGCTCAGTCTTGAGGTCCTGCCATTGAAGTGAACTAGAGGAGAATACATTGAATCTCTTCACCTTGTCCCACTGAGCCTCCTTGTAGTAGTTGTCTTCGTTGAGCCTCTTCGCCTCCTGCCTCCTCCTCAGCCTCTCCTGCGTTCCCTCCTCTCTTCTTCTCTTTCGCTCCTTTCCTTCCCATCTCCCTCCACCACTCTCCCCTCTCCCTGCTCCCCTTCTTACCTTCTCTATATCCGCCTTGAGAGCAGCAGAAAGACCTTCGATGTCCTACCACGCGAGTGAGGGAAAGCAGCACTGACCCACAGGTGCTGAGAAGAGGAAGAGCAGAAATGGAAAGAACCAAAGGGCAGGAGAAGGACAAGGAGGAGGTACAGGAGAACCCGCAGGAGCAGGAGCAGGAGCACCAAGGGAACATAGAGAAAGAGCAAAAAAGGAGAGAAGAAACAAAGGAGGCAGAGAGAAAAAGAAAAGAGAGGAGGAGGAGAGGAGAGGAGAAGATTACATTCAAACGGAGGTACATCGGGTGCAGTGCATGAACGGAGATTGAAGAGTAAGGATAAGAGTCTCTTTCGTCTGAGGGGCTGCAGCAAACAGCAGGTCAGCCTTGGGAAGAAGCTAGAGCATCCGCGGGCGAAGCCGGGGATGAGACGGAGAAAAGAAGGAGAAGAGGAGGAGAGAGCAGAGAGTAGTCAGACCTATGGGAGATGGTATCTGTAACTGGAAGCAGCTGAATCATCTTCAACCCCGCCTTGCGGCACCTGACCGGCAGTCGATCAGAAGAGAAAGCTGAACGAGGGAGCGGAGAGGAGGAGAAGGAAAACGACAGAGGTAGAGGAAGAGACAGGAAGCAGAAGATGAGAGGAAGAGCAAAACTTCCTACCAGTCCACAAGTCCCTTGATGTCAGCAAACTCGCCAACTCCCATCCCCTTGTCTGATCGCAGACCAAAGACTGGGACGGCGACACCAGCTCCTGCCATTATCTTGAGCAGGGGAGAGCAGAAGGAGGGGAGAAAGGGAGCAGTTGAGGGAGGTTGGAGGGTTGAAGCAGGAGGACCTGCAGGCAGAACGAGCAGGGAAGGGTAGGGAGGAAGGACTACGAACCTCTCCACTGGCTCTTGAAGAGAGGATTCTTGGAGACAGCAGGGTCGGGGTCGTCATTGACAACCACCTGGACATTAGCAGGTTAAGTGCATGAAATTGTCAGCGTCTCATCCTCCTTTACCATGCATCTGTTGCAAGTCTTGCCGCCCGCGTCCGTGATCTTCATGACGGCAAGAGACTCTTCGAGGTCTTGAGGCGAAGCCTCCACCTTCCTCCTCATCAGCTCATCTGCTCGTCATCCTCCTGCGGGACACCAACTCCATTCTCCTCTCCTTCCCCTCACTTTCTCCTATCCCCTCTCTCCTTCTTCTACTGTCTCTCTTCGTGCTACTCTCCAAAATATCCTCCTCATCGCCAGACCTTGTGTGCTGACTCCCCCTGCTCCACGGCAAGAACCTTCTTGGTCTTCTCCTCCATGATAACATACCTGCCGGAAACGAGGTGAGAGGGAAAAGATAGGACGAAGGGGAGGCAGGAAAGAATGTGATCAAAAAGAGAAAGCAAGCAAGCAAGCGGCATACCGGTAGTAAAGTGGCATCTGATGCATCGGAACATCCACTTCCACCTCCCACAGCGGGTAGTTGAGCCCCGACATGGGCGTGACCTGTGGTTGCATGAATAGAAAGCGAGAGAGAGGAGGGAGGGAGGGAGGGAAAGGAAGGAGTGACTTGGGTGATGGAACAGAAGGAGAGTAGCAGGAAGGAAGAGGAGGAAGGTAAACAGATATCAGACCTTCCCGTCCTCCCAGTTACCCAGCGCTGTGCAACTTCCTAGGGAGAGTGTAAACTTTGGACCACAAGCATCTAAGGAAGAGGAGGCTGTAGATTCAATACAAAAATTGCAAGACAGAACAGTTGATGCAGAGTGCATCCCATAAGCAGAAAGAACAGACCAAGAAAATGATCAAAACAAGAAACCGAAGCCGCAGCCGCAGCAGCAGCAGCAGCAGCAGCAGCAGGAGCAGTAGCAGCAGCAGCAGCAGTGGTAGCAGCAGCAGCAGCAGCAGCAGCAGTCGCAGACCTATGACGGCCATGACGTGTCCAGGTTCAACGCGCGGGTTCTCGATGGTCAGACGCACCTGGAGAGGAGAGTGAGAAACAACCGCATGTCTTCAGCTAGTCCAACCGAGATGAGATTCTCGTCCTTGTTCGCGCTCCCAGTGCTGAGTTAACCCACGTCATCGAATCCCTCGCCCAGCTGGCAGCTCACCTGGAGGTTCTCTTGAAGGCTCTGACAACTTGCTCCGATCTGAGCTTGTCGTTGAAGATGACGTCGGAGAAGGCTGACGACTGACCAGCATCGCCACGTCAGCCCCCGCCCCCTCTCCTCCTCCCTACCAACCAAGAAGATGCTCGACAGCGAGCTCTGACTCTTCCAGATGTCTCGGATCTCCATCACGGCAGGGTATGTGTCCTGCAGGGGAGCTGTCACGAATTGTCCTGTGCAGGGAGGGAGACGCACAGCAGGGCCAGCGAGGTTCAGGATCCTGCCGTTCTTGCTGCCTCCTTCACAGATGGGCGGGTGCTGCTTGTTGTCATCAACAATGCAGTACCTAACAGCATCATCAGGGAGCCTGTCTCGGCACAGGGTGGGGAACGAGTACCTGTACTGCACAACTGGAGGAGGGTCAGCGTCCGGGGAAAGTTCGAGCGCCATGTCGAGGCCCCAGTCGTCGTTCTTGATGTACTTTGACAAGAGGGTTGGTGTTGACGTCATCACAGCTGATTCGTTACCTGCATGCGAGCTCCCTTGCCGCTCTCTGCTGCCTTTTGTACATCCGTGACCTGCCTTGGACCTCAGGGCACCATTGGTGAGTTGTCGCGCTCCTACCGTCGGCGTTTCGACTCCTCCCAGTTCCGCCAGGGATCCAACTGAAGCACCGTGTGAGAACGTTCTAGGGAGGGAAGAGGGAGGGAAGAGGCTCACCGATGATGACGTTCTCTCCGAAACGAGTCTTGTAGTTCGTTCTGAACCTGAGCACAACCTGCTTTCATCAGCGAATGCCAAACCGAAGTCAGGGCGAGAGACCTTGACGCTGGTCTGGTCCTGGGAGACAACCTTGACAGCAGCCTGATCAAAGTCAGAGACGAAGCAGGAGCAGGGGCCTCACCTTTCCCACTGACGACAGAGAGGTAGGGAGAATGGCTGCACAAACAGGATAGTCAGAGGGACCAGGCGACTCTGGCAATCAGCTGCGTTACAAGCTCCTCCTCTCAGCCTCATCTGCTCTAGTGGCTGTATGGAGGCATGTGGGGCCGGAAGCTTCTGCGAGCTCGCGTCAGAGAGCTGAGCAGCATGAGCAGCATGCAATCACAGCGAATTCGGATCCTGCCATGGCTGAGGATGCGAGGAAGGCGAACATCTGTGCTCCTAGGAGGAGGAGAACAGATCGCAATCGACGGCCAGGCATCGCTTGCTGCCTCCCTTGCAGAGCTGAAATCATTCCCTGCCAGCAAGCAATGCGGAGTCAGCGATACACGAAGCGCTTGTGTCCTCGTCTTTCCACCGCTTGCTCTAGGTGGTATCCCCCTCTCAGCCATCTGCTTCATATAGTGCATGGTGGAGAAAGGAGGGGACCGAGGAGCAAGGAATGCCAACATAACCAGTCCAGCCAGGACAGGAGGTAAACGTGGTGGAAGAGATAGTCGCGGTGGAGAATGAGGTGAGCGAGATATGGAGGATGTGGGAGATGGAGGAGATGAAGGAGATGAAGGAGGGGAAGGAGCTAGAGGAGATGGAAGAGATGAAAGAGGATGGTAGCATGTGTGCCATGTGTGTATGTCCTTGAGGTCTCTTGACATGTCGCTTTCGCGCTTGTCGTCTAGAATGTGCGGTTGTTCCTCGCGTTGTCTCTCCCCCCCTCCTTTGTCTGCTTTATGGCCCTCTCTTACCTTCTACCCCCAAGCTGCTCGATTCTTCTCTAATGCTACTAGTAAATTCTCTCAATGATCCTCCCATACCATTGTGTCCAATGAGGTTCCGGATCCGCACCACCCCCACCAACTCCAACACCTTCCACCCTCTTCAAGCTTATGCATACCCCTGAAGATCAGAATGTACCCCTTTTTGACCTGTCGGGCCCGGTGCTTTCCCATCAAAAGGGGCTGAGTGGCGTAGGTAAAGGTAGACCCCTACCCCCACTTTATTTCATCCACCCTCCTCAATTTCACCCCCACCCACCCTTCGATCACGACCGTAACTCAAGCCTGTAGGACACGACGAGGCCACACAAGTCACTACTGATGGGGGCCTGGCCGCACTCCGAGGCGGACTCGGAATTATATCAGTGGGCGCCGGGGGACGACCGGGTCCGTCGGACTGGGCGTGACTGAGCTGTAAAGCAAGTGTTGCCTTTTAAAGTTACCGTGTACGGTCGCCCGTCCGTCACGTCCGAGTCAGTACACTGAGCGCCGGGCCCGCCACCGCGGCCCGGCGGCGCGGCAGTCTCACTCCGACTCCCGAGGCTCAGCCGCCGGAGCCCGGGGTCACCGTTACGGTACCGTCCGAGGACTCAACTTGACTAGCGGCGGCCGAGGCCTAGCCTACACTCAGTGGCACTGACACTCCAGAGTCCTACTAGTGACTACCCCGGGCCTGGCACACGGTGAAAACGGGCCCGCCTCACGAGTCAACAGAACCCACATTATTTCACTGAGGCGGGCCTGCCAATCGCTTGCCCGACGGAGATGAGGCGAATCATGCTGAGCGGAGGGCGGATGGGGGAGGAGGAGGCGGCCTGCATGTGCCTGCATGACTTCGACGGCGATGGAGAAGAGGAGGTAGCATGTGCCCTTCCTTCCGGTCGCCTCTGCATCCTCAAGGCAAGGGATGGGGACCAGCTTGAGGAGATTTCGAGCACAGCCATGGAATGCGAGGGGATGGTTGTGTTTCTGCTTGTAGGGAGACTGCTGGACGAGGAAGTTTCAAACCTCATCGCCATCGACATGGCAGGAGTAGCGCATATTTACTCCGTCCACGTCCACACCTCCAGGAGGATCTCTACCAAGAGATGCTTTTCCCATCCCCTGACGAAGAACATTTGCAAGGCGACTGTCATGATGGTGAGGCATGTGTGGTAGAGGTGGTCGCTGAACGACATGAAGGTCGGCGAGACGCGATCCTGCATCCTGATCGCCACAACTGACGGGAAATTTCAAGCATACGTACCACAAGAGGTTCAGGTGAAGGAGCTGGTATCCCGGTATTGCGTCTCCTTGCCGATTCAGCGCATGGGTGACGACGAGACAGTTCCGCGAAGCTTTCGTCGTCGGCCCTGATGACAAGCATGCTTGAAGACAACTCGAGGAGCCCCCGCAGCTCAGACGCGAAGTCTGCCGTCCATCCTTCGGTGCTCTGCGTCCCCCGTGTCGCTTCGCTGCTGTGACAAGAACAGGCGTTACAGGATTTCTTCTCTCCTGCCAGCCCTGCCAGTCAAAGTCTGCCGCTGCTGAGACCGAAGGCATCCGGGTATGTCAACTCCTCAAATGTCTTGCATGACCACCTGGTTGTCTCAGCATATCCGGGCAGTTCCGTCTGCACCTCTACCACTCGCATCAGTTTCAGAACGGTGCCCTCGGCAGCGCCACACCTGGTTATGATGTTTCGCTCCAGGAATCTCCAGCATCTGCCCTGTTGGAACCAACCGCGATGGGCACCCAGTGTGTGCAGTGTCGCTCATCACCAAGGTGAGCCCGAGAGTCTTGGTGATCAACGGAAGGCATTCCTTGGAGAACATGGAAGACTCAAACAACAACGAGGCGGAGATTGAGCATGAATGGCTCAAGTCTCAGCTGAACTTGTGCGGGTCTGCAGACCAAGTCAAGGTTCGACATGCTGCAGAGGTTCTCCTGCTCAGCCTTGCTGCAGGACAACATCGTCATCTCCATGGATGCGATCGAGGCAACCGGAGGAGAAGCAGAGGACGAGGCTGCGCAGCCAGCGAAAACGGATCTCGGAGGTAGGCCTTTGACGCTGCTCTTGCTCTTGACCTGAGTCTCTCTCAGATACGGCCTCGTCCCTGTCTAGCGTCTGGCTTGTTGCTGGTGTTCATTGCAACGGAGAGATTTTTGTCCACAAATTTCAGGCCAACTCGTTGCCTGTTGGCGATGCGAATCAGACCTTAGATGCGTCCTCTTCTACCTCCTTGCCGGGAAACGAGATACTCAGTTTTAAGATCGATGTCAAGTCGCGGGATGACCGACCTATAAGCATCATGTGGCGACGAGGACCTGTCTTGCTGGACTCTTGTGCCCTGTTGGATCAGGTGGTTGTGTTTACACAGATGGGAAGGTGAGAGTGAGAGAAGGGTGGAGAAAGTGATAAAGTTGGGGAGGGCACTGGTGTGGGTTTGGGGTGGGTAAAAGAGAGGACGAGGAGCATGAGGACGAGGAGGACGAGGAGCGGGAGCAGGTCCTAATTGATGACTCCCAGGGTTGTTTTCATCGACATGGAAGGGCATTCCATCCTCGCTGAAGTTGGGGCTCCCATAGCACAAGCGTCAGTCCGATCGTCTGCGTGCAACAAGCGCTTATTCCTTGCCGTCCTCCTTCTCTCTGGACATGTTCGCTTCTACACCGACATCCGCCTGACAAGCCTCAAGATGCGATCTCTTCTCCATGTCCGCCAGCAGCTCAGCGACCTACTCGACTTTTCCTCCTCTGGTGTCCCTGCTTGTCTTCCAGCGTGTCCCCGACTGATCCTCGGGTTGCAGGTTCGCAAGATGTGGAGCAAGAAATTTCGGCGGCGCTCTACACGGACTGGAACGGGCGAGCCATGCACGAGTACAAGCAGTGGCTTCAAAGCTCCACAGCAAGAGGAGAAAGATGATGCGAGAAGCTTACCGACGCCCTTATCTTCGTGTATTCTCATACTTGTGTAAATATCTCAATGTTCTGACGTACAATTTCCCCTTCATTGACGTTGCAAGACAGTTTGACTGCACAAGTTAACTTTCCATGTACTGGGTGAAGACGGCAAGGAAAGGAGGTTCGGAGGCTCCTTCCCTTTCCGGACAAGGACGAAGACAAGAAAGTCCCCGGCAGATTCATCCCGAGTAGGGAGGAGGAGGAGGAAGGGTTGAGTGTCCCGGACGCTGCCATTGAGAGGTATTGGTGGAGCTGTTGTAGAAGTAGATCCTTCCTTCGGGGTCCGTCAAGACCTGCGAGCAAGTCAGCCCCGGCACGTGAGGCACTTGCACGTTCACCTGCCATCCGCTCGGCAAGTCGTCCTTGAAGGGGTCTGAAGGAGGAGGAAGAGGAGGTGGAGGTGGGAGGTTGGCGTGAGGGGGTGGCGCCGCGTATGGAGGAGGAGCAGACCCGCCGCTGCCTCCATTGTACGCGGGGGGAGGAGGCAGATCTGAGTAGGGAGGAGGGACAGAGTAAGCAGGAGGAGGCGGGTTTGAGGAAGCTGGATTATAGGGAGGAGGAGCGCCAGCGGGAGGCTGATAAGGCGGCGGAGCATTCATGGCGTCTGGATTGGAAGGAGGAGGGCGTGTGTCCTATAGTACAATCAGCTTCTTCCTCCACACACGACCTACTGACATGCGCAGCTGCTGCTGCGCCTCCTCGGACAGGGGCGCCGCATGCGGTACCTGCGGTAACATCAGCGTCGTACTTGCAACATGATCGCCGGACAGAAGTTGCAGCCCTCCGCCAGCTTCACTCCGCAGGCATGGCACGCTTTCTGCGCAGCGCTGCTTGCCACGGGTGTACCACAGCTCGTGCAGAACTTAGCGCCTACGAATCATCAAAACATGACCAGGGTCTGGGACGAGGTGGTGGAGGAAGAGTAGGGTAGGAGTAGAAGTAGGAGTAGGAGTAGATGTAGAAGGAGTAGGAGGAAGTAAATGACAAAGACAAGGGCGAGGAGGACGGGCGAGGAAGACGGGCGAGGGCGAGGATGAGATGACCTGGGAGAAGAGACGAGTGACACTGGACACAAGACCCGTTAGCCGACGAGGTAGCTGCTGGGGTCCCGCACTGCGTGCAGAATCTGAGGAGCTCCGTCAAGAGAAAGTGGAGTAAGAGAATGCAAGAACGATCCGCGAAGAACGAGGCGTCAGCATTGTGGGTACTTACTTGGAGCTCACAAAGGTGCCGCATTTTACGCAGTTGACCATGCTGGGTAAACTGTCGTTTGCAAACTGTATCAAAAAAATGGTAAATCAAAGATGGCAAATCAAGTATGCATGTATGCACATGTACGATAATGATGAGATCAGATTCTGCTAGTCATTATGTACATCATAATCTTCCTGCTGCTCCCTCCTCCTCCTCCTCCTCCTCCCTCCTCCTCCTCCTCGCCATCGGTTACTTGACCGAAAATTTCATGTCCCTTCTGTGGTGCTAGCTGATCTGAGGTCGTTTAAAATGTGATTGAAAGTTTTGCCGGATATTTTCCGGCATTTTACCTCTCAGCCTCGGACTCATGTCAGACAGTGACGGTACGTCAACCATGGGCGAGGGCTCCCACCCCAAGAACCGTCACAGAGGAGAGGCCTGTTAGAGACTAGAAGCCGCCATGCTCCGCGAGTTCCGGAAGGTGGCTGACATAGCGATGCGATTCGATAAGAAATGTATGGTAGACTAGGACAGCCGGATAGCCTGAGCTGTTCTTTCTCAGTTTGCCGTTGCTAGCTGCTGAGAGGCCACATAGCACGACATGTACTTCGATGGGTTTTTTATTTCTCTGAAGCTTTTCCAAAATGTACGTTTGAATTTCAATAATTGATTGTGCTTTAAGCTCTGCGAGCGCGAGGACGATCGAAGGCCTGACCACCCTGAGCCTGGGTGACCTGCAAGGAGATCAGGACCAACAGTAACTAAAAGGAAACAAGTCAGACCTGGACGTTGGACAAGTTAACATTGAGAGCCTTGAGCATGTCCTTGGTGTCGGCGTCAACCTCAATGGTCTCGGCGTCAAGAGCAGAGCGGTCAGGAACGACATCCATGTGTCTCTCTCTCTCCTCCTCCTGGAGCTTGAGAGAAATACCCCTAACAGGTCCCCGGGAAATTCTCTTCATCAAATGCTGAGCAGCAGACAGTTAGACAGCAATGAGACTGCACCAAGTGTAGAGAACAAGGGAACGGGCTATACGAGCAGCTCGAGAGATCATGAGATAAACAGAGCAAGCAGGACAGTGCTTGGAAACAAAGAGATCTCACAGTGGTGAACCCGGCGATCTTGTTGCGGAGCCTCTTGGAGGGGATGATAGCTACTTCCTCGGCAATCTTCTTGTTGGTTTGAAAGTCGAGGGTGAGTCTGGTGTAGTACTTCTCCACCAAGACGCGCGCTGCTCTCTTCACGGTTTTAGTCCTGACACGACCCTGACAAGCTTGTCAGACTCCTGCATATGCAAACGATCCATGTGAAGGGAGTGGTAGGCCGAGGTAACAAGAGTGTGCAGAACAAAGAATAATTGATTCAACACACACAAGGACGAGCAGTAGCAGAACATCCCGACGTATCATCACTACACAACACATGCACCAAGAAACTTATATGTACACGAAATTTCTGTTCAAACACAATACAACTGCAATCATCAACTCGCCAGGTCGCTACAGACGCTGGCGGTAAAGTGACGTGCAACGTATTACGGGCACCACAGGTCGATGAACAGGCATCCAGCACACACCAACACGAAATTTGTCAAGATTTCAGAAACAAGAATGAAAATGGTATATCGAAAGTAAATATACGAGGATGAATGTGGGATGAATGAATAATAAAGGGTGGATGAATGAGACGACTAGCAATCAGGTGAGATGAAAGGGGAAACGTTGCAGACAGAAACATTGAAAAGACAGATCAGACATGGCGCACGATGGCTTGATTGTTCAGAATAGGACGAGAAGAGAAGAGCAGAGGGAGAGGAGGAGCCGGAGGAGGAGGAGCGAGCATCTTGCCGCATGCATAGAACAAGGGGGCTTGACATCACCATCGCTCTGTCGCTATCCGTGTGGCTCGTGCGTTTTTTTTTATGTACGCCGACTGAGCGGGGATGTGGGGAACCTCAGTAAAAGCCCGGGCCCGGGCCCCGGACTCGACACTACCAAGTCCCGGCGCGGCAGGCAGGACATATAAGCGAAAAATGCTTCGGACGGTGCTGGCTGCGTCGACCTGCGCCGCCGCCATGGCGTGGGCGCCTGCCCCTGCGTCTTCCCCCTCCTCCCTGAGCCTCCTAACTGCTCCCGCTTGCTCTCCTTCCTCTCCTTCTCGCTTGGCCGGGTTGAGAATTGCTCGCCAGGATCCCAAGGGTGTTACCTGCTTGCAGTGCTCCGAGGGATGCGAGAGGCGGCAGGTCCTGCAAGGGATCGGGGCATCTGTTCTTAGCTGGGCCCTGACGTCTGCTGCTCCTTCCTTTGCTGCTGTCAAAGACGACGTGACGGAGAAGGTGGAGAAGATCCCGCTCGAGGTGCTGGCCGCCATGGCTGGAGGAAGTGCGAAGGTACCTGCAAAACCCCCACCATACACGAGTGGTCTGACTTGGACTGGCAGGAGTATGAGGAGGTCAAGGGATCGTTTACCCCCCAGCAGCCCCTCGAGGGCATCGAGCTTGAGCTGTTCCGCCTGTACAAGTACGCCACTACCAAGATGGACGGCTCCGGCGATCCCAGAACGAGCCTTCGTACTGTTTTCCTCTCCAAGGTGAATAAGAGCACGATGCTGCAAGTTGAATGTATGAGGCAGGAGATCATGATGATAAGCGTGCAAATGTAGATGCAGATGCAGATGCAGATGCAGATGCAGATGCAGATGCAGATGCAGATGCAGATGCAGATGTAGTTGTAAATGTAGATGTGAATGTTGTGTTTCTTTGCCGCTGCAAGAATCTCAATACCATCTAGAGGCTGATTCTTCCATGTTGAAACTCGTTCATGACCGATGTCTCTTCTATTCGCTTCTCGTCTATCGCATTCTATCGTTTGCTTCCTCTGTGTATGACCGGGTCACAGGTGGGAGATAGCTTATTCAAATACGCTGAAGACAACGGCATCAAGCCTAAGGTCTACGACGCGAGAGGCGACGGGCTGACAAACGGCGGCAAGGGAGGAGTACTGAAGGGATTGCGAGTACTGATGGAGGGACTCAAGAAGCAGGGTGAGATACTCCAGTCTCAACATTTCCACACTTCCTCCCCTCGCATCTCCTCTCCCCTGCCTCTCCTCTGCCTCTCCTCTGTCCTCCCACTCTCCTAAACTCTTTTCCCTCCGCTTATCTTTTCTCTCTTTTCCTCATCCTTCTCATTCCTCGCTTCCGCCTCCCCCCCATCTCGAGATGCTCGCGCGTGCTCACGGCCAGCAGGTCTCATCGAGGACTTCAATATCGACACCTCCACCCACGAGGAGATCCAGTGGCAGCAGGCCAACCCCAGCAGCATTACTCTCACCACCAAGAAGCCGGTGGGCCTCGCGGCTGCTACCGCGATGCAGGCGGAGAAGGACAGACTGAGTATCTCCCTCCCCCTCGCCTTCGTGACTGGCTACCTCAAGCAGTGCAAGGTCATCGCCACCGCTGAGGAGGTGAGGGAATGCGAGGGGAACGGGAGCAGAGGGAGGAGGAACTTGGTGGAAGGCAAGACGGGGGAGAGAGAAGGAGCAATAGGGACGCAGAAGAAGAGGAGGGAGCGAAGCGAGATGTCTTGGAAGAGGCAAAGAGAGAAGGAAAGGAGGGGAGAAGAGCATGGAAGCGGAGGAGGGAGGAGCGGAGGAGGGAGGAGCGGAGGGGGGAGGAGCGGAGGAGGGAGGAGCGGAGGAGGGAGGAGCGGAGGAGGGAGGAGCGGAGGAGGGAGGAGCGGAGGAGGGGAGGAGCGGAGAGAAATTAGTCGGTAGCTCATTCACAGCAGGTGCTGAGTGGAGACGAAGAGAAATTGACTCTGAACCTCAACTGGGCGGGGAAGGCAAGGCTAGCTAGCAGGTGAGTCCTTGCCCGTTGACCTCCTGCGGTCCTGAGACGACCAACCAGCGTGGAGAGACGCGTCAACGACAAGTTCAACGCTGCTAGGAGCTACAAGTAGACTGTGAGGAGGGGAAGATGGAAGATGGAGGGCGAGGGGGAGCGGCAGGAGGGGGGGGAGGGAAAGTCGATGAAAATGGAGACGTAGAGGAAGCAGGAGGTGAGGGAGTGTAAAATTGCATTTCCTTGATAGACCTGAATACATCCGATAACTTGACATTCTTGGAATGTTCATATACAAACGCCTCCGAAATCAGCACGAGGGATCCTATGCACGGGACAGTCATGAAGGAGGAGGCAGAAGAACAGGTAGGGCAGCAACGAGCAGTATGAGGAGGGGAGGGAGGAAGGAGAGCAGTAGGAGGATAGGATGAGTGGGGGGGATCATGGGGTAGAGTAGTAACAGCTGAGCACAAGTGTTGGTGAGGTAGTCGGAGAGAGGAGGAGCGTGGGGAGGAGGGAGGAGTGTGGCTGGGATGTTGCATGAGCAACAGCAGAACAGGAGGAGGCTGGAGGAGGTGCAGGAGGGGCAGAAGGAGAAGTCTCTAGAAAGGTCACCTCATCGCTGGCAGATGCTTCCACCAGAAGGTCTCTCGGCACCTTCGTCACTATCAGGAGGAGGCAGCACAAGGACCTCCTCCTCTCCCACTCCGTTTCCCTTTCCACTCCCCACTTCCTTCCTTCCTCCTCCGTCCTCCGTCCTCCGTCCTCTGCCCTGCTCTCTTTCCTCTACTCCGCCTGCTTCTGAACACCTCGGGCCATGCAGGACCTCCACCTCCTTCATACTCGCTGCGCTCCTATCGTTGAATCCGCCTGAAGTCATCATGAGCAAGAGAGGGGAGGACAGAGGAGGAGGACGGAGGAAGAGAAGAGAAGAGAAGAGAAAAGACACAGAGAAGGGAGGGAAAGAGGAGAAGGAGATCAACGAGGAGAACGAGGAGAAAGGGGAGAAGGGGAGAAGGAGGAGAAGAAGGATCAAATGATGTTCTGTCGTTGTTAGCGCACCGATGATGGCGATAGCTTCCCGTCTTCCTCCCCCTCCTCTTTCGCAGCGACAGGCAGCAAACGAGCTGCGCGACTTGCTCATGCTCATCCACATCCTCCACTCCTTGCGCGCCGACACGAACACTTCGCAGGAGAACAGCTGCCTGTCAGCTCAGCCTCAGCTGGGATCGTTGCTCGCATCCCTTCACCTCTTATTGTCACATCCCCCCAGGACAAAGATCATGTCCCCCACTGCTACCGCCTTCGCCTCCTCCCTCCCGCTGCTCATGTTCGCCGCTGCCCTCCATCCTCCTCCTCCTGCCCACCAAGCTCGCACGTCGAGGACCTCAACAGACTTGAGAGCCCTATAGCCATCGTTGCCTCCTGCAGGCTGATGAGGTGGAGCAGAGAAAGAGACGAGTAGGGAGACAAGGGAGAAAGAAGTAGGGAGGGAGGGAGGAGGGAGGAGGGAGGAGGAGGAGTAGGTAAGAGAGGAGGAGCAGGTAAGGGAGGTAGGAGAGAACGTGGAGGAGGAGGAGGTAAGACAGGACGAGGAGGGAGGGGGGAAGGAGCGGAGGAGGAGACCGATGGCATAGATCCTGTCGTCACAGACGGCTACTGACAGTCTCGTCCTCTCGCAGAGCAGGGAGGGTCCCTCCTGCCATCCAGCCCTGCTCCCGAGAAACCTGAAGGAATGTGGATGAGGAGAGGGAGGAGGGGGAGAGGAGGCAGAAGTGGAGCGGAAAGAAGAAGGGGAAAGGGGGAGGGGGTGGAGGAGAGATGGAGATGAGGAGTGAGGAGTGAGGGAGGAGGAGGCAGAGGAGGAGGCAGAGGAGGAGGCGGAGGAGGAGGCGGAGGAGGGGGTGGGGGGGAGGAGGTTATACGTTTGTCGGAGATCAAGGATCTGGACTCGGGAGGAGGGAGCGGCGCGATGTCCTCCAATCACAAACAGCTTTTCGTTGCACACAACAGCTCCAGCCTGTATTTCTCCTCTCAGTTATCAGCACAACTGCCACGTTGTCTCTGCCTCTCCTCCCCAGCTTCATACATCTTGCCCCAACTTTCCTGTCTTGTTCTCTGTTCCCGCCACTGCTCCCCACCTCCCCTCTCACTCCCTCGTCCTGCATGCCACCCCCCCTTCCCCTCATCAATCCTCTCCCTCAAACCCCTCCCCAGTCCTCCTCTCCTCCTCCACCTGGCAGACGGGATCCAGCAGGTCTGGCAATCGTTTCCACTGGTCGCTTGATGGCGGCAAGCAGCTCTTGGCGTGCAAGCAGAACACCTCCTGCAGACCATCCGTGAGGCGGAGGAGGAGGAGGAGGAGGAGGGAAGAGAGGGGGGAGGAAGATGGCGTGCAAAAGAATTTGGAGGGGGATTGAGAATATGAGGAGTGGGGAGAGGAATGGAAGAGGAAGAGGAGGGGAGGGGAGGGGAGAGACAAGTCGAGAAGGAGGGAGGGGAGGGGAGGGAAAAGGAAGAAGAGGAGGAGAGGGGAGGGACAAATGGAGAAGGAGGGGAGTAACAACTTTGCGGTGACGGCTTCCGTCCCAGCCTCCGATGACAAGGATGTGATCCTTATACGCAACAGTCGCGTGTCCCCTGAGAGGATGCGGAAGCGGCGGCCCCTCCCGCCATACCCTCTCCCGCCCGCTCAACACCTCCACCGTAGCCTGCCATGAGGCGTGGGCACGCGGCAAAGCAAGAGGAGGAGGAGAACAAGGCAGGGAGACTGGGGCAGGAGAATTGTGGAGTGAAGACCTGAATTTTGAATCCGTCCCAACCAGCTATCGCCCACAGCGAGAAGTTGTGTTCCTCCTCCTCCTCCTCCTCCTCGTCTCTCGCCCTTCTCCTGCATCCGGCCTCCTTGTATGGTGCAACTGCCTTCGAGTCATCCTTGCCAGGTCTCGCTTCCTTCCGCGGGAGCAGACGAGGAGGAGAGGAGAATTCGTCCCTGCTGTTCTGATGAGGATGAAACATGTAGCAGGAAAGCATGCAGGCAGGCAGGAGGGGTGGTGGGGACTTAGGAACGAGTAAGGGCCTGGGAGGGGTAGAGGAGAGGGTATCAATTGATGTGCTCACAGGGAGTCATACTCCTCCTTGCCATTCACTGAAACCCCCACCATCCCCGTCACCCTGCTGATCATCGTCACCAGCTTCCGCACTGTCAAGACCTACACACCTCACTGTGTCGCTTGCTCGCTCCTCCTCCTCCTCCTCCTCCTCCTCCTCCTCCCGTGACTTTGTTTGTCTGAAAGTCAGAGACTGGAACTTCTCGGTATCGGCTGAGAGCGTCTGCATGCGAGGGATGTCTTGGTGCGCTTCTGCTCTCCTCCCACTCTCACTGGTCAAATCAAAGAGGGACGTCGCTGGGGAGGAAGACACTATCCTCTCCAGCACAGCCACCCTGTCCCGTAGGATCTGCATCGCATGGGAGTCTGGGGTGAGTCGATGAGCGTCAGGAGGGGAGGGGAAGGTGCCTGGCTCCCTTCCGGTCATCCTCTCCAGCTCCGTTCTCAACCTCCTCGCTTGCAGTCTGGTCAGAAGAAGCTCGTACATCACCATGTCCTCGTCGTTGAGGATTCTCAACAAGAACTCTCCGTCTACCGCTGCCTTCATGATCGCCCTTGTCCTTAGCCTTTTTCTGTCCTCCTCGTCTGCTCGGAAAAGATTCCCTACCAGGTTCACCACATCGTTGGTGCTGAGCCAGGAAATGCCTCCCCCTCCTCCTTCTCCTCGCTGTGACGCTGCTTGCGACGTCATAACGAGCTCTCCACTGGACCGAGGGTTCGCCTTCCTCTTGAACCTCAGATGCACGCTGGGATGTGCAGAAGTTGAACAAAAAGCAAGAGGAAGACGAAGACGATAGCGGACCCTCGTTCTCCTCCACTCCCCCTCCCCTCCTCTCCTTCCCTCCTCTCTCCTACGTATCCCCCCGCCCCCCCACCCCACCCACCCACCCGCTCCACTCTCACCTCTCTTTTTCCTCCCTTTCCCCTCTCTTTCCTCTCTCTCTCCTGCTCACCACTGCCCCCCTCTCCCAGCCACGTCCTCCTCTCTCCTCTTCTCTCCTCCTCTCTTCTATCTCCTCCTCTCTTCTCACCTCTCCTCCTCTTCTATCTCCTCCTCTCCTCTCCTCTCTCCTCCTCTTCTCTCTCCACCCTACTTGTCTCCTGCTGTCCTCCCATCCCCTTCCCTCATCTCATCGCATCGTTCCGGGAGACCCTCATACCGTCACCAGACTCATCGCTGATCGGTTTGAATCGATTCGAATCCTCACAGAAGTTTGTTGCGGGACTGGACATGGCGTCACCTTCCATGCCCGTCAGGTCTCTCGCGCCAGACTAAGATTCTCCTCCTCCTCCTCCTCCTCCTCCTCTCTTCTCCTCCTCCTCCTCCTCCTCCTCCTCTTCTTCTTCTTCT